CCCTCGGGGCAGGCGGGCTCCCGGGGAGGGGGGGGGGAGGGTTACTGAGCGCTGAATGTTCCTTCCTCAGTCTTAGCGAAGGAGCTGGGGGAACTCTGTGGGTGGGAAGCTGGAGCGGAGTTGGGAGCCTGTAGATACAGCGAGGGGAAGTGTTTATTTATCGCCAGGGCATCCCCTGGGACTGGAAGTGCGATGCCTGGGGTCGGTTTAACGGTGTCAGGGCTGCAGAGGGGGGCGTCTTCCTCTTTGGAGGGAGCTGCTTTCAAAGACTCACTTTTCGGTGTGGCAAGTGTTGATGATGTGGTCCAAACGGTAAATAAAGACGTTACAGGTGAAGTGTGTTACAGCTTCTGCGGTAGCGCTTGTTCCCGGGAGAAGTTTGGCTGGGTAGATATGCTGAAGCTTACGTGCCTGATGTAATTTATGTGCTGGGCCTTCAGAGTTTTTAATATAGAAGCTGTTGCTATGTTTCAATAAAAAGCCTTCCCAAACACTCAAAAATAGCTTTGCAGCTCAAAGCTTCAGAAAAATCATATCGGAGGCTCCATTAGACAAATATATTGGAGCAGCGCATGCCTTGATGTTGCTGATCTTGCATGCCTCTAGAGTCGTTAGAGCTGCCAACATCTCACCGCTGGTATATTAGTTTGTTAGCTTCCTTCAGAGCTTGAAAATCAAAGGAGTTGGACTAGCTCTAGCATAGATCAGGCAATCGGAGTCATGGTGGTAGGAATTGCCACCTTGTTCTGCATCTGTTCCATCGTTCACTGGAAGCGTGCATCTGCAGCTGTACCTGAGTAGGTGCTTCCTCCTCCACTGAGCTGTTCATAGCAACTACAGCAGTAGGGATATGTATGTGCAAGGGTGAAGAGTAGGTGGCAGGGAAGCAAAGTTTTTGTGGTGTGATTGAAGGATGAGAGTATACTGAGTGAGGCCTCTGTAGGTTAAATGTTTGACAGCTTCCCGTGGCCGTCTAGGCTTGTTGAATCAAAGGAGTAGGAGCCTTTCTAGTATAGTGTCTTGGAAAACAGAAGGGTTGAAAGAAAGAAGGAAAATTGCTTGGAATAAAAGTAGTGATAAATACGCCAAGATATTATCCAGGCAGGTAATCTGGGTTGAAGGACTACATAGAGACAGCTGTGAGAGAGAAATTCTAGAAAAGATTGTAGGAAACATCAGGAGCTTCCTGAAGAGAACAGTTAATTGTATAAATGTGCTCTGTTGATGTAGCATGCCTTCTTCAGAGAAAGGTTTGTAGAATGCCATTACTAATGGAAAGTTTCTTTGTTGGTAAGTAGCCTAGGCCATTAGTTTCTGCGGTGTTTATGTTCTCATTTGAGGTACTAAATTGCAATCCGTTTGCTGTGGAGATAATCTTCCAGTTGTGAAACTAACGCAAACCAATCTGGTATTGACTTCCCAAGTCTGCAGAAGTTGGTATGACTGTATTTCTACTCACGGCTAAGGTTCGTCAGCCCCAGAGCAATCTTTTTATGAATAAATTATGTGTCACGGACTACAAAGGTAGTAATGCAGCTTCGTAAATGTTTGTTTTGTACTACTGCTTCTGTCATCTGAACAAGCTGCGAACAGCAGATGATGAGATTATTGGAGAGCCATTTAGTTCTTTGTGCTGGTGTGTGTTGCCTTGGAAAGTGCTTCCTTTGGAGAACAACTCTACTTAGTTTCACAAACTTTGCGCTTGATGCCTGCTGTGTGTCTATCCAAAACTTTAAGTGCATCCTGTGGTATGTAGGGACGGTGGAAAAGGATTTAACAGGCTGACTAAATATGATCAGACATGATGTTGTGGTGATGCCTAAAGTATTTGCCTTTTAAAGTGTATAACTGCAAACATATCTTTTTGTTTAGAAGAAGGAGGTGCTCTCTAGTGGTATTTGGCTTTTTGAGTTAGTGCTACATAATGTAGTTAGGGTGTTTTTGAATTATTACCCAATCCAAATAAAACAGACCTGGACATGACTCTGAAAGTAGTTTGTCTTATGTCGCTTATACCAAGAAAGTAATGGTAGTAGTATTTCCTTCTTACAGCTTGTTATCCTCAGAATCCTTCAGTAGTGTCCTGTTGTACTAAAATTGTGAGCGTGAATATATATATTTATGAAACATAAGTAGACTTTTTTCCTTAGTCAGTGAAGATAATCACTTTACTGGGATGTGCTCAGGTATCACAGAGAATGTTCTTATGCACTGACCTGGATTGGTAAAACTAATTATGACATTTTAAAATAAATGTGTGGTTTTTTACACCAGGAGCTCTTGTCATTGGCCAAACGGAAACGTAGTGACTCTGAAGAAAAGGAGCCACCTGTGAGCAAACCTACAGCATCTTCAGACTCTGAGACGTCAGACAGTGATGATGAGGTGAGTTTGTCTTGCTATCACTTGTTTGTCTAAGCAGTGAAAGTGTATTTATTATAATGTATATTTAGCCTGCTGACTGCATAAGGTGGGACTGGCCATCAGTGGAACTGATGGAGAGCTGTTAATCTGAGAGGATGTGTGCTCGGAAATACTCTTTTTTTTTCATTTAATTAATTGTCCTTTGAATTGTAACTGCATACAAAATAGTCTGAATGTCTATAGAAAAGATGACTGCCTGTTTAATCTGATGCTCTTATGGTCTGAATGGTCTTAAAACTCGTGTTTTTCCTGTGTAATGCTTGTTGTTGAAGTAGCAGTGAAGCTGGGCTCTGAATTACAGGAGAGAGGTTTTGAGCTTTAGAAGAGAGCTTCCTGAGAGAAGAACAGGGTCAAGGCTGGTGGCACTAGTTTACAGGTGGTAAAACTGTTCTAGTAAGCTACTTTGATTCTCTAAGAACTCTGCTGTGAACTAGCGTGTCTGGCCATTTGAACATTCAACAGAGTGTGGTTTTGTTGGCATTTTTGAAGAAAGTGAGGCAAGGAAGAGCTTAGCATTACTTTGCTCTAGGGTTTTGTCAATTCCTTGTATAGCGGTGCTTATCTGCTTGATCTGTTTTTATTATTTGTTCTTGGTACTACATTCTGCAGCTGGTTAGAAGTCTCTGTTTTTGTCTATAGAGGAAAATTTAAATAGACTTATTAAAACAGAGGAACTGATGAACAGGTCATACAGGTATTTGAATAAAAACACTTTCTTGAAGGCTTACAAATGTCTTTTGCAAGCTTTCCACACAATGTAGCGAGGTCATTTATTCCATCTATTCCTAAAAATTTAATAGGGAGCTGTTTGGGGTGGATTTCTTTTTTTTTTTTTTTTTCCCCTGAAACTACAGCAAGGATTATTCATTGTGACAACTTCAAGACCTATAGGGTAGGCCAGTGATAAACTATTAAGCATTTGGTAGTGTAGCAGAGTTCTTCCAATAAAAGTAAAGAACATGTAGTTTAATTTTCTTTCTGAGGCATTTTTGAAACAAATATGCTTGGAACTCTGCTTCAGTCAATCCTTTTCTTAAAAAAAAAAAACAAACACTCCCACAAAACAAAGAAGTGACTCTTGTATCTAGTATATGCTTAAGACATAAGGAGAGAGAAAATTATGGATGGGCTAGATTAATAGGTTTGTTATTGGGTGACCACTCAGTCTGTCACTGTGCATGTGCAGATCTGCTGGCACACAGCATATTTGTTCTAAGCTGTGTGGAGACCAGCTTGTGTGGAAAAGTAGACTTAGATGTGGAGAGCACCTTGACAATAAAGTCTTCTGTTCTGTGTTTATCTCTGAAAACTGGCAGAATAAATAATGTTATTCAAATTATATTTTTAGCTTGTGTAACTACAACTAAGGCCTACCTTTCCATTATATGTAGAATATGACAAAGTATATTCACGGATTTGCATAGACCTTGCAGATGCAGCATTATCTCTGTTGTACTGTGTGCATTTGATGCTCTTTCTAATCTGTGTATCATTTCTAATTGATATTCTGTTCTTTCTGACCTCCATGCAGCAAGAGGAAAATATTTAGAGAAGAGGTAATTAGGACACTTGCTTCTATTCCTGTGCCTGAAATACGCATTCTGAACTGCTGCTTGTCACAGCAGGGTGAGACAGGCTGGGTTATGGCAGTTCTGCTTCTGCCAGTCATTCAGTTGTGTGCTGTC